GGTGGGGAGGGGCAGAGGGAGAGGGAGAAGCAGTCTCACTGCTGAGCAGGGAGCCCGATTCAGGGTTCTATCCCACCTCACTGAGATAATGACCTGAGCCGAAGGCAGACGCTTAACCAACTGACCCAGCTAGGTGCCCCTGATTTCTTTTTTGATACAGTGATTATTAAGGAGTGTGTCGTTTAATTTCCACATATTTGTGAATTTTCCAAATTGCCTTTTTTAAATTGATTTTTAATTTAATTCTATTTTAGCCAGAGAACATACTTTGTATTAGTTCCGTGCTTTTACATTTTTTGAAGCATATTTATGGGCTAGAATATGTTCTGTCCTGGAGAATGTTCCATGTATAATTGAGAAGAATGTATTCTCCTGATGGTGGATGGAATATACTATAGATATCTGCTATGTGTAGTTAGTTCAAGTATTATACTTCCTGTTGATCTTCTGCCTAGTTGTCCTATGCATTATTGAAAGTATTTAAATTTCCAAGTATTTTTTTTTAAAGATGTATTTATTTGAGAGAGAGAGTGCGCACATGCATGCATGGAGGGGGCAGAAGGAGAGGGAGAGAGAGTCCCAAGCACACTCCACATCGAGCATGGAGGCCAACTCAGGGCTTGACCCCACAGCCCCAAGATCACCACCTGAGCCAAAACCAAGAGTCATTCGTTCAACGGACTGTGCCACCCAAGCGCCCCTCCAACTATTATTTTTTAATTGTTCATTTTATCCTTCTGTCATTTGTTGCTTTATGTATTTAGGGACTCTGTTTTAGGTGCATTGTGTTTATATAATTGCCATATTTTCTTGATGGCTTGACCTTTTACCATTATGGTATGATATCATTTATCATTATTACAATAATTTTGTCATTTTCTTGAGTAATATTTTTTGTTTTAAAGCCTAATTTGCAGGGGCACCTGGGTGGCTCAGTCAGTTAAGCATCCAACTCTTGATTTCAGCTCAGGTCATGATCTCAGGGTCATGAGATCTCCCGGCGTTGGGCTCCACACTCAGATGTCTGCTGGAGATTCTCTCTCTCCCTCTCCCCCTCCTCCCACTCTCTTTCTCTCTCTCTCTCTAGAATAAATAAATCTTTAAAAAAAAATAGTCTAATTTGCCTGACATTAGTATAGCTATTTCATGTCTTTTATGGTTGTTGTTTGCTTGGTATGGTTTTTCCTGTTCTTTTACCTTCACCCTGTTTGTGTCTTTGAAAATAAAGCAGGTCTCCTACAGGCAGCGTCAATTGGGTCATATTTTTTTATCCAGTCTGACAAACTGCCTTTTGATTGGTTTGTTTAAGCATTCTCTTTTAATGTTCCAGTGACACAGTTGCATTTGTATCTGCCATTTTGCTTTTTATTTTCTATATGTCTCATGGCATTTTCTCCTTCTGTTCCTCCTTTTCTGCTTTCTTTTGTATTAAGTGAGTATTTTCTTGTACAACACATCCCTTCCTTTAATTTTTCACTTTCTCTTAGTCATTTCTTAGGAGTTGCTCTAGGACTTAAAACATACATCTTCATTTATCAGAGTGTACTCAGTTGTGTATTAACTTAATAAAATATAGGAACATTGCTATCTAATTCCGTTTCTTCTAATCCTTTTGCTATTACTGTTACATATGTATATATAACAATGTTATATATGTATGTAGATAATAGAAACCCAGAAGTACACTGTCATAATTATTACTTTATATAATTTTATGTTATATGAAAAAAGAGAATAAAGGAAAACAGGCATTATTTATAGAGTTTGTTGTATTACCCTTCTCATTAACCATTACTGATAACTTCATTTATTCCTGTGGATTCAAGTTACTGTCTGGGCTATTATTTCTTTACTCTAATGCAACCCCTTTGTGCTATTGTTGCCACATATAGTGTATTTCTATATTTTATAGGCCCGCAATACATACTGTTTTATACAATTGTTTTTTAAGTCAATAAGAGAAGAAATATATGATTATAATTTTATAACTACCCATATAGTTACCTTTACCAGCACCCTTTGTTTTTTTGTTTTGATTCCCATTACTATCTCGTGTCATTTGCTTTCAGTCTAAAGAACTTTCTTAGTTGTCTGTTACCGGTATGGAGATATAATTTACATAAAACTTATCCCTTTAAAGCATGTAATACAGTGGGTTTTATTACATTCACAGAACTGGGCAACCATTGCTACCATCAAGTTTCAGACATTGTCATCACCCCCAAAAGAAGCCCCACCCTCATTCGCAGCCACTCCTGTCCCTGTCCCCCAACCCCAGCCATAGGTAACCTCTAGTTTTACTCTCTGTCTCTATAGATTTGGCTAATCTGGACATTCCATATACATGTATTCCTGCAATATGTGGTCTTTCGTGACTGTCTCCTAGCATGATGTTTTTAGGTTTCACCTATGTTGCAGGATGTGTCCATATTCCATTCCTTTTTATGACTGACTGATATTCCACCTTTACTTTTTCTTTTTTTTTAAAGATTTATTTATTTTAAAGAGAGAGAGTGGGAGGGAGGGGCAAAAGGAGAGGGAGAGAGAATCTCAAGCAGACTCCCCACTGAATATGGAGCCCGACGCGGGGCTCGATACCACGACCCTGAGATCATGACCTGAGCTGAAACCAAGAATCAGACACTCAACTGACTGAGCCAC